TTCTCACATTCGATTATGATTGGTTGATTTCTACGCCAACTTCTTAATCCACTACTGCTACTGCCCATTGTAGACCACGCATTACGATTTCTTTACTGCTTACGTATTACGGCCTTACGTTTTTGTATGTGCCATGGGCTTAAGTTTTTTGTGTGTCAGGGCCCTAAAGTGTTGAATGGATAAGGTAGTAACCCTGATGAAAAAGTTTCGCTAAAATTATTCCATGCTTTGGAACATTTCAGCGAAATTACTGAAAATTTGCTGAAATTTCACTGAAAGTGAATTTTTCAGCTAACATACTGAAAAAATCACTGAAATCCAACCGAAATTTCTCTAAAATGTTCTGAAATTTCTTTGAAATTCTTGTTGAAACTTGTCTGAAAATTTTGCTGAAATTTTGTCGAAAATGAATCTTTCAGCTAAAAATCGCTGAAATTAAATTGAAATTTTTTTGAAATGCTGAAATTTTGTTGAAAAGTATTCCAAAATGTGGAATAATTTCAGCAACATTTCCACCAGGGAATCTATGTTGAAAAAACTAAATTAAAAATTATTGAAACGGTTTTTCAAAATTTCGGCTCTTGAACCGCAATTCTATACATTATATACAGTCCCAAAAAAATTTCACCGAAATCGGTTGAGAATTGATCGAGAAAGGATCCCGCAGTTTTCTTATGGGAAAGTACTTTCGGTCAAAATGACTGAAAATTTAGTATGTGCAAATGAACATTTTTCAAAAAATTCTTTTTATTTTTAATATATCTTTTCCATTTTTTGTTCAAGATAGTTAATTTGTTTCTGACAAATATTTCACAAACAATTTTTTTGAAAATAATTGATTTATCTGTGTGTGACAAATTTTGCAAACAATGTTTCTAAGACCGCGGTTTGTTACAAGTTAATTTTATAATCTACCTTTTTCAAAGTAATTAGTTGATATTGTATAGACGTGCGTTATGAAGATAAGAACATTTAAAAAAATCGAAAAATGACTATAATATTATATAAAACGTGTAATACATGTTTATATTATTATTCATATACATAAAAATATTTAATAAACATGTATTCTAGACAATGAAAACATTTTTCATGTTTTTTATATACCAATGAAATATTTATACTGTATATATTAAAAGGCAATGTAGTAACATGTTACTTTTCATAATAATCGATATGAGGCCATATCGACCTTTGAGCTCCAATATCTCAGAACCTATTGATTTTAGGACCACGTGCCCATTGAGACTTTTGATCACGACACCCATAAACTATCACATACTAAATTTTCAGCCATTTTGACCGAAAGTACTTTCCCATAAGAAAACTGCGGGGTCCTTTCTGATCTATTTCAGAAGCTGATTTCAACTTAGTCACTTCAAAGTTAAGTAATAAATAAAATTGTTATTTCTGACCGTCTTAATTACGGATTAAAACCTTACATATTTCGTATTTAAATTTTGTTCGTTGAATAAAAATGTATGTACATACGATAATTCTGGGTTATGTACGATAATTTTACGGCCCTGGTACGATCAGCCACTGCTTTAGGTTACCCCGAATCTACAATAGATGTTTTATGCTCGTATTATAGTCAGACCTTGTACTTAAGGCTTTCTTAAATTTATCTTTAGATGCTCCACGAATTATTTCATTGGCTACTGAGCATCTAAATATAAGGCCTGACTATGAATACAGGTCTTAAGCCTTAAGTCGTAAGAAATTGACCAATTACAGTCGAATTTGAGGAGAATAATCGACTATGATTCGTCCATTTTTTATGGCTTGAGGCTTAAAACCCTATTGTAGATCCGGGGTTACCAACACTGCCCTGGTCTCAGTTCCCAGTGGTTCCCAGCTGTCTGTAGCTGTCTCTCACGATGGATGGATTCATTAATTCGATCAATTCCAATTGCAACAGGTGGAAAAGGACAATCGAAAACAGGTATAGGGATTTATTTACAAAGTAAAAAAGATCATCCAATTTCGAATCTGAAATATAAAGGATATATATTCTGATATTATTTATAAACAATTAAATTTTCTGTATTATATATAGAAACAAATTTACTATACACAGGATGTAACTGAAATAACGCCTATTAATCATTTAGTACTATTCCTAATAAACTGAGACGAAAAATTGACTATTTTGCAATTTTTGTAATATTTTTTTTTAGTTACCCAATGAGCAAAATGTCTAAAATCGACGTATTAGACAGCTTTAAGATATTTTTAAGAGTTCTTTAAGAAAAATCTTCAAAATATTTCACAAAGAACACGGAAAGATATCTCAAAATTGTCTTATACATCGATTTTATCCATTTATTCGGCAATATTTATTTTTTTTTTTATTCGGCAATATTTAAAAATTAATATCTCGTTAACTATTGCGAAAATTGCAAAATGGTAGAGGACTTTTCGACTTAGTTTTTTATTAGGAATAACACTGATTAGTAGGCATTATTTCAGTTATACGTACCTTGTATAAATACCAATATTTCAAAAATTTTGTTAGATTATTTATATTTGATGCCAAAAATTGATATATCTAATCTATTAATGCACTTTTAAAATGTTTTTTGTACTTCTTGATGCTTAAATGATATAGAAAAAGAAGAAATTATCTTTAACTCTCTTTGGCTGCGGTCCACTTAACGCTCGCGAGCATCATTTATGCTGGTTTAACATTTGATAAACAATAAGGATGAAATGAGCGTTGTGAACGTTAAGTGGAACGTACCCTTTGTTTACATATTTTTGGACAGCTGAATATGTCGATTATAAAATAGCGTATTTATAAAAAAATGTATTGTTATATTATTTATTTGACTTTTTTATTATATTTATATTTATATTCTTAAAATCGATGTACAATTTATACCCATTTCCGATGAAGATTAATTTTAATCTCTATTCAACTTGTACTCTTTATATCTTTTTCTAAGAATTTTAAATTAAAAACGTTTTAGCAACTTAAAAATTTTTAAACCGATAAACTGAAAAAACTACCCTACTGAAAATTTTCTGTACGAATTAGAACACTTTTCATAAATACTGAGACAGTCTACATAATTTTTTCTTAGAATTTTTTCGTTTATGTGAGTGAATATTCTAACAATAAGATTTCTCATAATTTAAAAATTCTGAAAAATATTCTAAAATTTACATTAAAATTATATAACAAATTCTGAGAAAAATTATTCCTTTGTTTGTAAATATTTTCGAGTAATCGGACGTTGATAAAACAGTGCATCCATCAAAAATCTTATGGAGTTCGAAGCGGGAGACGCCATCGCTGGAGTTTGGAGCGCCTTGGAGTCAACAGCCAAGACGGCTCCCCACAAATGGCCGGTGACGCGAGGAAAGCGGACGTGATAAGCCCGTTAGGTGACTGCTCTATCAGCCACACTGCGACGAGATGATCGTGGCTGCGAACGCAATTTTACCTCGATCGAGAATACGTGAAACTTGCTAGGATAATTAATCCTCGCCATGATCACGAGGAACGCGTGGCTCGCTGTCGCTTGCTTCCTCTGCGGCCTTTTTTCTTGCAATGGTAGGTGGCATCGATGCTCAATCCGTCATGATCTAATCATTATTTCTCTTCTCAAATTCCTCTTTGAGACGTAACTCTTTTTCGCCTTCTTTTTTGATCTTTCTCTTTCCTTTTTCCCCGATTTTATATTTTCGTGTTGCTGTCATTGTGCACAGTTTCCATGTTTGTTTTGCTTGTCATTGTGTATGTTTATGCATGTGTTTGTGTATGTGTGTGTGTTTATTATCTTCTTCATCTCTTTTCTCTTTTCTTTTTTTAAATCAGCAGTGTTTTTATTTTTATTTTTAGTCTTTTAATTTTATGGATTTATTTTTTTAAATACAATAAGTAATGAAATAAAGTAAATATTAAAGATTGAAAATTAAACTAGTCTTTTTTTAAGATTGGCTCAATTTTTACTTTTTAGTATAAGATTCCACTCTAAAGAATGTAGAGTTGATTGTTTAGCAATGAGAACATGTTAAGTTTAAACTCAGGATTAATTGAATCAAAATTTTTTAAGTGAGCCAATTATTCTTAAAATATTATATTATTGATATCATTATCTTTCAGGCTCGCCTCTACTTCTATTTGGCACTCATAAGGACATCAGGGTGGCCAATATATCTCGTAACAACAAGGTTAACATCATCATCAAGGATTTGTCAGAAGGTGCGTCGCTGGACTTCTTCTATGAGCGTGAGCTGATTTGTTGGTCCGACAGCAGTTTAGAGATGATACAGTGCATTCGCTATAACGGCACGCATACCGGCGAGAAGCTAACGGTAGTGAACTCCAGTTTGATATCACCCGATGGTCTTGCTTGCGATTGGTTTACGGATAAACTGTACTGGACGGATGGCGAGAAGAACCGGATCGAGGTGACCAGCATCGACGGTCGTAACAGGAAGGTGCTCTTCTGGAATGACATTTATCAGCCGCGTGCAATCGCCCTGGCGCCCATGGAAGGATACCTATTTTGGACCGATTGGGGCGACGTGCCTAAGATTGAACGTGCCTCGATGGATGGTGATCCGAATACGCGCGAGATCATCGTCTCTGATGACATATTCTGGCCGAACGGCTTGACGATTGACTATGAAAATAGACTCATCTACTGGGCGGATGGTAGACTACACTTTATTGCCGTAATGGATTATCATGGCGGTAATAGACGCAGATTGGTCAATCGCGATTTGGACTATCCTTTTGCCATAACGTTTTTTGACAATCGGCTTTATTGGACCGACTGGAAGACTTGGTGCATTCATTCGTACGACATGAACCAGCCACAATCACATCCACGTGAATTATTTCACGGCGAATATATACCTGGTAGTAAATATATTCTTGTGTATACAATAATGACTTGAGCAAATATTGATTAAAGTTATTTTGTATTTGATCTTAAGATCAGGCCAATTATATTCTTAACACTTATCTTTAAATCTAAAAGAATTATACAGGGTAGAAATTAGCGCATCAAAATATCATAGCAATATAGAGTGGACTAAACTGAGTCGAAACGAAAAGTCCTCTACCATTTTGCAATTTTCTCACTAGTTAACGAGATATTAATTATTAAAAATCGCTGAATATTGGTTTTTAATAATTTTTTACTCAAATACTATCAACTTTATAGAAAATTACAAAAGACACACACACAAAAATTGTTTATTTTTTTCTCACAGAACAGAGACAAAAATTTTTTCAGAATTTTTTATCATCTTTTTAGTACTGCATTTTCTTATTTGTACCGACATGAGAAAATACGGTATTAAAATAGTCTAAAAAAATTCTGAAAAAATTCTCAGAACTTTATGAGAAAAAAATAAACAATTTTTGTCTCTCGTTGTTTTTCTATAAAGTTGATGGTATTTGAGTAAAAAATTATTGAAAATCAATATTCAGCGATTTTTAGTAATTAATATCTCGTTAACTATTGCGAAAATTGCAAAATGGTTTTTTTCGACTCAGTTTAGTCCGCTCTATCTTGCTATGATATTATGATGCGCTAATTTCCGGATACCCTGTATAATATGCTTTATTTTCTCTATATCACTAGAGAAGAGAAGAGAGAGAGAGTGAGATTATATATAATCTTTTTATATAGTATATATTTATTATTTATGTTTATTATTATATATATTATTTTTTTTAAACGATATTTATTAATTCTCCATATCAAATTTAATGATGTGCGAATTATTCGAATGCTACTTAAATTAAGTGAGATTCAATTTGATTTGTATTTGAATCTCTTTGAGAGATTCGAAAAATCTTGATTCGCACATCTATATAATAAAATTAGTATGATTTATTTTATTTGATATTCTGTATTTATTAATTTTCTCATATTTTTATTAATTATTCAGGTGACATTGAAGTCTGGGATGCAAGGAGACAACCGGGCGGCAATAATCCTTGCAAACGAAACAATGGTAATTGTTCTCATCTGTGCCTTCTGAGCTCGAAGGAACCTGGTTACAGTTGCGCCTGTCCCACGGGTGTCAAACTGATTGACAAATACACATGCGCCAACAGACCGGAGCAGTTGCTGCTAATCGTCCAACGAACCGAAATCTGCCGGATATCCTTGGACTCGCCTGACTATACAAACTTCGTGTTGCCGCTTACCGGCATTAAACATGCAATTGCAATTGACTTCGATCCAGTGGAAGAGTTGCTGTATTGGACTGATGAACAAACAACTGCCATCAGGCGAGCTCCCCTCGACGGAATGAGTCAACAGAATGTGATTTCCACGGAGGTGTGTAATTGTATTCTGTTTAATGTTTGGATTAGTCTTGAAAATATATTATTTATAACAAAAACATCATAATACTTTTCAATGGCTCAATTCTTAAATTTTAATTTAATCGGATTAAAACTACATGAATTATCGTGGCAAAAGTAAGCCAGTTTTTTTTAATATGTTCATACAGATTTATAAATAGTTACCAAAAAAATCTTTTATAATGTTTAAAAAAGTTTGTAACAAACACATAACTTTTACACTTTTTCTAAAAACAAATCTAAAGAATATAAAAATACTGAAATATATGAATTCTTTTATTAAAAATAAAATTAATTTTTGAATTTTTTTTTATTAAAAATAATATCTTTCAAAATATTTAAATTTCTTAAGATTTTGAATTTTTTACAATTCTGTTTTTGTCTAATTGTCTTCTATTTATATCTGTTTCAACAGAACTAACAAGAAGTGCATGCTGGAATTACACAAAAATTTTTTGACGAAATTGTTAATATTACAGATAGATTGAAGAGACTTTTAGAGCAAAGAAGCCATTATATTTTTGCGTTATATACTGGAGTTATTATAATTCTATTTTTTGATTCTTGCAGGTAGCGAATCCAGATGGTATTGCAATAGATTGGATCGCTCGCAATCTCTATTGGACCGATACCGGGACCGATCGAATTGAAGTGGCACGACTAGATGGGAAATATCGGCGTGTACTAGTGAATGAAGATCTATTCGAACCACGAGCGATCGCGCTCGCACCTGAGCACGGCTGGATGTTCTGGACTGATTGGAGTGAAAAGCGGCCGAAAATTGAGCGCAGCAATCTGGACGGCAGCGAGCGTATATTGCTGATCACCAAGGACATTGTCTGGCCAAATGGCATCGCCTTGGATCTGGAGCGCAATAAGATCTATTGGTGCGACGCAAAGACCGACAAAATCGAGGTGTCTAATATGGACGGTACTGATCGGCGTGAGGTTATCACCGATAATCTGCCACATCTGTTCGGTCTCACCTTGCTGGGCGATTATTTGTATTGGACCGATTGGCAGCGTCGCAGCATCGATCGGGCGCACAAGCTCACCGGTGGCGAACGTGAAGTCATTGTCGACCAGGTACCCAATGTGATGGGGATCAAGGCCATACATCTTGGCAAAATGAACACCAGTAATTCTCCGTGCGCCCGCGACAACGGTGGATGTAGCCATCTCTGTTTTAACAGACCTAACAACAGGTGTGTATTGTGGGAATTATACAAATATTTTTCTGCGAGATTTGCTGAAATTGTTGCGGATAGATTGGAGATTCTTAGAATTTAATACTGAAAAGAAATGATTAATTACTTTGTTGTTCAGTGCTTTTAATATTCAAAATAAATAATTTTTAGTATTGAAATTGGATTCCTGTAAGAAGACTTTTATTAGGGTAGAGAAGAGCAAAGAATCATACTTTTCACGTCGCATATGTTGAAGTAAATTAGTTTTTTTTAAGGAAGATTGAAGTAACGAATATGTAAATTGAATGACAATTTGTTTACGAAAAATTGTAATATAAAATTGAAAATATTCAGGTATGTCTGCACCTGTCAGATGGGCTACGAATTGACAAAGGATAAGCGCACATGTGTTGTGCCGGAAGCGTTCCTACTGTTTTCTAGAAGGGAGAATCTTGGTCGAATCAGTATTGAGAACGTTAACAATGATAATATCATACCTGTCACTGGTATCAAAGACGCTAGGTTAGTGTAATTGTAGTATAACTACAACATTAAAGTAAATGTTAAAGTAGGATTAGATCAAAATATATTAAAAATGTTCATTAAACTTTTCGAAAAATTATAAGAACGACTAAGAATTATATATTATAAAAAAAAAATGGATATCCTTTTCACTAGAAGTTTTATACCTAATTAATTCACTTATTTTTCAAAAAGAATTTCTTGAAGCAGTTATGGTTTTTTTAAATTTTGCTGTTTATATAAGATTTAATTCAATGAGACAAGCTATTTTATTTCACACTTAACTACATTTTTTGACAAACATGTATTCTATGTATTTTTTGCTCTTTCTAGCGCTATAGACTTTGACTTGTCTGAGAATCGCATTTATTGGACAGATGTTAAGTTAAAAACCATCACACGTGTTTTTATAAATGGATCAGATATCGAAAAAATAGTCGATCTCGGCCTAGAATCGCCAGAAGGTATTGCATTTGATTGGATCGCGCACAATCTCTATTGGAGTGATACTGTCACGCGCAGAATAGAGATGATAAGAATAGAAGGAGGCAGCAGGAAAATACTTTTATGGCAAAATCTTCTCGAGCCCAAGAATGTGGCTGTGGATCCTGAGAGAGGGTGAGTTTTGTGTTTCTATTCTGTTATCTTTAAATTAAATTTTACACAATCTTCATAATTTCATAGCTTGGTTTCTATTTATTTATTTTCATTTTGCTTTCCATTGAAATTTAAATTAATAAATACTTATTTTTTTTAATGAATAAAGTTAACAAGCATGGCAAAAAGATGAGAGTCAAAACGTCTAAAAGATATCTCTCTTCAGATAATTTTGGTAACAAAATGAAAAATACAATAATAATTATAAACGGATTCTCAAATTCTAAATAACATACAAATAAATAAAAGTAGGCTAATGAGAGTCAGCACAGATAAACGGCACAAATTATTATGAAATAATTTGATACTCTGAAGTTGGAATGATATCTTCTTTATTTCAACTCTCTTTGGAGTTCTTTTCAGCAATGTAGATACAAAAGTATTAATAGCTCACGTATCCATTATGATCAAGTCACTTACAAATTTAATAAATGATGAATCATTTATTATAATTTTATACGTTAACTCGCAAAAGTTTTATTACGTGACGATAAGTAACAATCCTTAACTTTTACACTGTGATTTACTCTTATTTATTACAATTTTAATGCGTGTATAATGTTTACCGCGCGATCTTTCACTGCCTTAAGAGTTGTTCAATTCGAGCGACATGTCGTTATGTACGAATGCGATCTTAACATGTGCAATCTATATATCTGAATTCTTGATACTATAACGCATCTATATTTCGCCTTTAAATATGTAACAAAGATTCATGACACGCTTCTCGTTCCTTAACGGTGAGTCGCTTATTTTTTCTTTACTCATTTTCCATTCTAATGATATTTTTTAAAGTTTGTCAGATTAGTAACACTTTATCTCTGTCAATTTGTAAGTGATTTGATCATAATGGATATGTGAGCTATATTAATATTTTTGCATCTATATTGCTGAGGAGGACTCCAAAGAGAGTTGAAACGCGTTCAAATAAAGAAGACATCATATCAACTTCAGTATTAAATTATTTCATAATAATTTGCGCCGTTTATCTGCGCTGATTCTCATTAATCTATTTTTGTTTATTTGTGTATGTTGTTTAAAATGAAAAATATATAATTAAAAATAATTATATAAGAATTTTTGATATAGAGATTAATTAGCATCTTATTAAATAAATATGTTAAATCTTATTTAATATTCGTTTAATATATTTGTTTAATATTTGTTTAATATATTTGTTTTCTAGCCATTTATACTGGGCCGAGTGGGGTAACACCGGCAGTATCGAGAGAGCCTTTTTGGATGGCACACAGCGGCAAGTGATTGTTTCGCACATCGGCCGAGCGAACAGTCTGACGATTGACCATGTGGGGCGCAAATTGTATTGGGCCGACATCTCTACACCCGCGATCAACTGTTATGATCTGTTGACGGAACGAGAGAATGTCATTATTTCGCGTCACATAGTCTATCCGTTCAGCGTTACGCAGTATCGGGACTTTATTTATTGGGCGGATTGGAACACAGGCGACATCGAAAGAGCGGATAAGATCACCGGAGCAAATCGTACCAAGATCCACACTAATCTGGCGTCGGTGACGGATCTGAAAGTGTTTCATGCGTCGCGACAGTCTGGTTCGAATCCATGCACAATTGCAAACGGCAATTGCAGCCACCTTTGCATCGCTCTACCGGGTCCGAACGGCGGTGCGTCCGTTACTCACAAATGCGCGTGTCCCACGCATTATAATCTGGCGCGGGACAATCGGACCTGCATGGCGCCACGACATTTCATGATATACAGTCAGCGTACTGCGATCGTACGTTATTTACCTGATCAGACGGATGACTGTGCGGATGTAACATTACGTGTACAGGGTTTAAAAAACGTTCGCGCGATCGAGTTCGATCCAGTGACGCAGCACGTCTACTGGATTGATGGTCGCGTGACAATTCGTCGTGCCTTGGAAAATCAGACGCAGCAGCAACAGCACAGCAGCACAGTTGTGGTGTCCATCGGAAATGGACATTTGTTTGATCTTGCGCTGGATCCGCTCGGACGGCTGCTCTTCTGGACATGTTCGACAAACGATGCGCTCAATGTCACGCGACTGGACAATGGTTCGGCTCTCGGTGTCGTGGTGAAAGGTGACGGCGAGAAGCCACGTCACATAGCGATCTACTCGCAACAGCGATTACTCTTTTGGACGGATATAGGGAAGAAGCGGGTGGTACGCAGCAAGATGGACGGCAAGGAGCGCCACGTGATTGCCGGCGATTTACCGGAACAGCCCACCGGCTTAACGGTAGACATCACGACGTACGTCGTGTACTGGGCATACAGCAAACACATTGAATGCTCCAACTTCGAGGGTAGCGATCGTAAGCTCCTGACTTTCACGCAGGGCTCGGCACTGCATTTAGCAGTCCTTTTCAATTATCTCTATTGGTACGATCGTGATGCACAGGTGAGTGATATTTTATTGCCGGTCCTGAGTATCATACAAGCATCTTATATAGAAAAATTTGAGATTAGGATAGCATGATAATCTATACTTATCTCATTGAACCTTAATAGGTAATTGAACGGGCAAACAAGACGTTTAATGAAAACACTAGACGAGGTACGCAGGTGACGACAGGTCGCATATCTTTCACGGATCTTATTGCGATCAACATGCCTGAGGATTCGCTCATGGAGACACATGTGTGCAGCCCATTCAATGACTACGGTGGTTGCTCGCACTTCTGCGTTGGCACCAACGCTATTACCGATGAGGCTACGGCAACATTGCCCCGTTGCTCATGTCCGAAGTCGTTGGTTCTGTCCGACGACGGTCGGACTTGTCGCGCGGCGCCTGTCTGCGGAAACGATCACTTTACATGTGCCGCTCCTAACGCGGCCGTGAGTAAGGATTGTATACCAGCCACGTGGAAGTGTGATGGTCAAACCGACTGTTCAGATGGCAGCGACGAGCTGGGATGTCCCACTTGCTCCCGCGATCAATTCAGATGTCAGAATCACTGTATCGGTAAGCGCGACTTCTGTCTCTTGTTGAATAATTAAAAATATTAATATAAAGAATATATAAAGCAATAAAATAATTATATATTATTATATATTTATATATTTGTTTCTGCAGAATTGTCTTTAGTATGCGACGGAACTCAGCAGTGTCCGGATGGTTCAGATGAGGCACAATGTTGCGAGATCGGACAGTTCCAATGCGTCGGAAATGGTGTTTGCATTTCTGGAACATCATTGTGCGACGGTTGGGACGATTGCGCCGACGGCAGTGACGAGGTACCGCCAGCTTGCATGAGCCCGCACAATCCTCATCGTCAAAACGCTGGACCTGGCATCAATGAATCTGGCAAGACGACTTACATTATCATCATTCTGGCATTGGTATTCGTGGTCGCAACAAGTATTTTAAGCTGCTACTACTACTGCCGTAAAAAGTAAAGATATTTACTGTATTTATTAAATAACTTAAAAAAAATCATGCAGCTTTAAATTAATTTTTATTCAAAATTCAGTTTATAATATATTTTTTCATTTAGAAAAAAGTTGTTTAAATTTTCCTTAAAAAATTTAGTCATATTTTAAATAGAATCTCTTAAATATAGAAAATAACATAACGGAAGGAATCTTTTGTAACGTTTGTCAAGAGGTTTTTTGTAACAAGAAGATATTTATTGTTTTATCATATTATTATAGGTTTACCGGAAACGAAGGTCTGCCTGATATACTACATGATTCGGCGGGAGATCCACTGTCGCCGAAACCTAGTAACAATCGAATGGTGAAGCCGATGTTTATTTCGCAGAAAAATAATAGGAAAGATGGGGGAGGAAGTGGAGGCCTCAAAGTCGGGATGGAAGCCGTAAGGATGTCCATGCTGAACGGAAGTAGTCTGGGCTCTAGTTATGACCGTAGTCATATCACAGGTAACGTATCTTTAAAAGCTCTTCTATTAGAACGAAATCTCAGAATCATGTCTTATACCTCAAAACTTGTAGATTTAAAAAGAAAGACCATATAAATTTAAATAAATAAATAAGCTTTTTTAAAGAAATATTTTTTATATATTCATTATTTTCATCTTTATAGTATTTTTATAACAGAATTTTTTTAGAAAAATTTTCGTGCGTAAGAGTCTGAACAATATCTATATTATCATTTGATGTGATATAAATTGTTATTCAGATTTTACAATTTTTATATTTTGTTCTGTCAGGTGCGTCGAGTTCTACCAGAGGAAGCTCTGCAGGTGGATATCCTCAGGAAACTCTGAATCCGCCGCCGAGTCCGGCGACGATCGTTAGCTCGACACGTTGCTCGAGCAGCAATGCATCCCGGTATAAGCCATATCGACACTACAGGAGCATTAATCAACCGCCACCACCTACTCCGTGTAGCACCGACGTTTGCGATGAGTCAGACAGTAATTATCCAGCGCGTTATCGTTACGAAAGCGAGCCGTTTCCACCGCCACCCACTCCACGTTCTGTCTATCACAGCGACGCAGCGATCAGTTGTCCACCGTCCCCGAGTTCCAGATCGTCCACGTATTTTAGTCCCTTACCACCACCACCGTCGCCGGTGCCTTAAGAAGAATTCAAAAATAGAGACATATAACGCTCTGGTGCTTCTACTTTTGCATTTATCTTATTTCAATATTTCTCTATCGCGACTGTAGTCGTTGATACTTAAATCTTATAATTATTAATTATGACTGACTAATGAATCGACCATTGTGCATAAAAGCTTTCAATGAAAGTGCTCAGACAGATAATAATTGAGAATTCAATGGTAATTCTTACGAAACGATATAAAAAAAATATGATAAAAATATATTAGCTTTTAAAAAAAGCAATAGATTTCTGTCATATAGTGAATTTAAATGCATTAGTGTACACTGGTGCATATTAAGCCGTATCGACACTTGCAGCAGATTTATATCTGTAATGTGTGTATAGTACTCCGCAGCATCACACCGAACATTTAAGCACAACGTAACTTTACCTCGAACATTTGTTAGGTTCAATACGACTACATGGTATCGCGTCAACTGTTACGCGATGTAACCAATTCTGTAATGGGTATTACGCGACGGCATTGCAATTACGTTGTTTCAAGTGGACATGGCTTTACAGACTGTTGGTTTATAAAAACGTATGTATAATAAGTGGTTGAATTCAGATGCCCGACATGAGTCATTGTATTATTTAGTAGAATGCATTGCACTTTATTCATAAAACGCTTATTTATGTTTTACATCTATATATATATATTTTTTATACTTAAATAGATAATTCATGTATATACAAACTAGAGGTTCCATATATATTTTATACATATATATATATACATATATATGTATAAAATATACACATAACACACAATGCTTTAATCTGCACCAGTGTATCAATCGAATTTGCTGTTTAATTACTCGTTAGCGTAATAACGAATAGTTTCGTTAGAAATACTGTAAGTATTTCTATGTAATTCGTACAAATGATTAAGATAAATTGTACACAGGTAGAACGTACCGGAGCAAAAATTCAATCCAACAAAGCATTTTCTCGCGTCACTTCTCATTTCGAGTTTTGTATTTTTCATACAAAATCTTTGATATGACAAAATTCGAGGATAATTTGTGAGAGTTATTATATATACGATACATTAGATTTTAGACAAATGAAAGTTTTTTCATAACTCTCATTAACTCATTAACGGTCATTTTTGGGGTAAAACTTCTATTATGAAAAGAAATTTGGGCGATATAATCTTTTTTTAAGTGTTTCATTTTGGAACGTAATAGAGTTTTCCAGAGAAATAATTTTATATTTCGAGGTAACATTACAATATAATAATGATTATTACATTAATCTAACGATTGAAGTCAGTCGTAGTTTAATTAAAATTTATATTGTAATTATTATAATTATATCTGTTATATATATTGTATATTTATATATATAATTATATACATAATATATAATTATATATATAATTATATATGACAAGTCGTATAATTATATTATGCAATTATGTAATATAATTACATTATATATTATGTAATTATTGTAATGGCCTTTAATGCGTTAAGCTCAAAAGCAACGAATGGCAAGACTTTTAGACTGATAGAACTATTATTATTCCTATAAGATTTACTTGTATATATACATATATATGTCAATAACTCATTGAACTCTGCATATTGGAACATGCTCTCCGATATCATTTTCATATAGAAATAATGTTAGGGGATAGTTTTGTTCTTTAAATACAAGTATTGGACACTTTTCTTAGTCCCCATCTAAAGTTGTGTGAGTGTTCATTTTAACAATTATGACATTAAATATATTTTTATTCGTAGGACGTACATTAAACTTTTTTATTTAATTATACTGGGAAAAAAACAACTGCCTTGGAATATCTTTCGGCACGTTTCATAACAGAGTTCAGTGTAATAATTATACCACTTGTGCCTGCTATACATTTTCATAGTTTGTAATGTACAGAGAAAAGATCGTTTTACCGCGGAAACTTTTTTTGTAAATATCTAGTTTAAGCGTAGCTTCTATAAAATTACATCACATACGCTACATCATACTTGCAAAAAAAATATAGTGTACATGACTATAACTTAAAGATAAGCATTAGAGAAATATTTATCTCAGCAGACTCCTTTTTTAATCTTCAAGTACTTTATAGATGCATTTATCTGTATTAATTGTGATATCAATGTATATCATTATTATTACTATCATCATCGTTAACAACATGTATATGTTATTCATAATTTAATTGATATGGCAGTTAACCAAAGGCTGCGTCTCATATATATTTTATTATTAAATTTATGACACTTTCCGTTTTTTTACCCTAAAAAGGTGATGGTTTTATATATATCGTATTTGTAAATTCTTTACCAAAAGTGTAGGCGCGGTAGAGAAAAAAGCGGTATATTCGCCTTTTTGCCATAAGATATTTTTACTACGTTTCCTGTTAATAATTATTCGTTTGATAGTTATCGTTATCTTGCAAAATATATTTACGAGAGTTCGACATATCACATCCGTCTTCGTGCATTTACACATGCATATATGCATATATTCATACAGATACACAGACTAGACGTAGTAACACAGAAATTATCGAAATCTTTTAGCAATAATCAATGTATTTTACATGTTTATTTTGTAACTGCGCGTCATACGATGTATATACCATGTTAATGCAGAAACGACTTATCGTTAACGCACATATCTGTTCCTGTATAAAAACAGGTATACGGCGAGTGAACGAACAACGAATGCGAAATTAGAACTCTGTTTCGTGTCGCCTGGTGAGCGAACGTTTCGTTCGTATTTTCCGAATCTTTTGGTTTTTTCTGGCTATTTATTTTTTCATTATCACATTATCCTTCTTACTCCTCTTGTAAGTTCTTTGAAGGAAACCAGGAAGGGGGGGAGGCTGTTAGTGAAGAAACACAAGCACAGGAAAGTTTCGCTGTTGATCTTACAGTATGTGAGATCTTTTCAGCCTTCCATTTTGACTAAGAACCTTCCTCTCTCCCTGTTATTCTTTCAGTAATTTTTATTCTTTTTCATCATTTATGGAGATAAAAATATCGATCTTCCGAAATTCAACTTTCCAATTTCGCATTCATTGTTCGTTCGTTTTGGCGCTTCAAGCGTAATCGCTGTCTCGGGAAACTGTGCCATAAATTGTACAATAGTTTTATATGATACACGTAACAGTATCACAGCCTGTACAAAATACGCAAGAATCGCAAGGACTTCTACCTCGCATTGCGATTTCGAAACACCTTTCGAGAGAAAAGAAAAAAAGAACGTAATAATAAATTACTATTATTCTCATTTCATACGTGCGGAAGACTGAGAAATATTACTGCCTATATTATTTTTACATCCTCACAATTGACGCGCGCGTGCGTTCTCTTGCGTAGTCTATTATGTAGCATATTTATACAGTGAATAAACTTGTTTGTTAACGTAAATCTCCATCAAGGATTTTCTTCGTAACTTCGCTTCGATGCGATCAACTTTTAATAGCGGGCGCGCCAATAATTTACCTAATATTGTAAGTAATTGTTTTAAAATGAAATGGAATTTTAGGGAACTATAATTCGAATGAATAATCATACAAGGATGAGATTTATTTCCACTTGTTAAGAGAAGAACCGCGATATTTGCTCAATGAACTCTCTCTCTCGTCCTGAACTGCCAGCTCTTCGTCCAGCAGTAATTCGAAGTTACCCAAAGCTTCCGGGGAAGGTAATTTATTCCATTTCACGCTAATCAAACCAACCATAAATTTTAATCTTGTAAACTTACTGGAGATTTTGATTTTTATTAGACTATATCATACACTTACTCGGGCATACTATCCGGAGGCAGAACCACCGATATGATATTGTCGATTAATTTATATTTCAAGATCCTGTCGTTCACTGTCGTGGATGTGAGAGACGGCGAGGCATTTACCTGTGAAAAAAGCAAAACTTTGATGTTTTCGAAACTTGAAGGTTTTTATTGACAAGGAAATATACGGAAGTCATATGTATTTCCCAGGGTTGAGTAAGTTAACTTTTTTTTAAACTAAAAATTAACAGCTTTGAAAATTTACTTAATTAAAATACAAGTTAATCCAAAATGAAATTAATTGAATTGAAAATTAAGTTAATAAAAAAAATAATTGAAAAGCTAAAAGTTAAATTTGGTTTGAACGAACAACCAAAAAAAAGAAAAAGAAAAAATTTGGCCATTTTACATAATTTTTCGTATTTTTCCTTTCTCACAGCATATTTATTAAAGAATCTGATTATTTTTTTTCACAAGTAACGATTATATAATATAAAAATTACTAAATTTTATATACTCGTTATCCTTTAGCTTTGTGTCTGAGAATTGAAAAAAATTAAATTAAAAATTAATAGTTACCAATAGAATGTAGCTAAATTAAGTTAAAAAGTTAAGAGTCTAAAGTGTAACTAACATAAGTTAAGTTAAAATTAATTAACTTTTTAACTTAACTTTTATCTTTTTAAATATTCAATCCTGGTATTTTTTATACGTGTCCATATACACTTTTAGGAGATGAAATATCTCTTTGAAAATGTCGTCTTTTTGTTTTTAGTAACTATAAAAAAATAGAAAAAAATTTTTTAAATGAAAGTTGAAGTTTTGATTTCAAAAGTACTTTAAAATAATAAAAAGTTTTTCTAAATTTTTAATTTTTTAATGAATTATCACATATTTTTTCAAAATTTTGAATTTTTTGATCAAATTAAAGGTTATTTTATTATAAATTTAATGGGTAAATATTCAGAAATGGGGAGCCACCTCCGATGACCTCGACCTTGTCGTATATTGTCAAAGTCATGACCCTGAGTGACCTCCACCAGGTTATAGGTGGCGGTCGCTGCCTGTTAAAAAGTATTCATGGCATTCATGCCATTCAATGGCATTCCAAGAATGGATCTGGACACGGAGAAAACCCGCGAAACGCATAATTTTCATATAGGAAACACCAGTGGAAGCCTCAAGAATATTATTTGTCCTCATCGTTATCTATCATGGGGAAAATCCTCAGCACAATTTATTGGTACACTATTACGTCTGTCTTCCTCCGATTTTAATGAGCTTAAAATATGTATTTAAGTTTAAAATACAACATGTTAAAAACTGATCATTGCAAGAGGATACTTGTGACGAATTATGAAGGATAAGAAATCAATGCACCTCGATCAGCCACGGTTTTAACTTATTATCGATGATGATGTCATATCCGTAGCATTCGAAACAGTGTCGATCGTTTGCCATCACCGGTGCTACCGCTTTCAGTGAGTGCACGATGCACCAGGAAATGTTGGCGAACAGCTTCTCTGTAACCGCTTTCCCGCGCGTGCTCTCCAAGTACAAACGTAGATTCTGTACGCTTAGCTTACCGCCGTGCTTGCTGTTGTACTCGTCCTGAAATTCCCGTATTCGACAATTTTCTCTTTGGTACACTAAGTATCCGTACAAACTATGTCATTATTAAAAGTTAAAATATTGTAAAATTAAATATCCAGAGATTAGAAACGTGATGAAATCTAAAATTCCAAGATTGGATCAAATATTTTTTTATTATTAAGAATTATTTAAATTTTTATCTAAAAAGATTTTAAAATTAAGTAATTTTTTAAACTGCCAAGTAATAAAAAACTGCTCAACTGAGCGCTACAACTTGGTTTAGGCTTGTTTAAAAAATCGTATATTTACGTTATTGATTGCGTTATTCTGATATTTAAATTGACTCACTTAATTGTCTGATTTAACAAAGATTATTTTATGAATTTAATTTAGAAGTAAAACAGTTCAATAATATTTTCTGAAGAATTAAAAGAAGATAAAAAAATATACTCATACAACACAAAAATTTACAGCAATATTGGTGCAACGTTTGCAATGTTGTTGTAATCATAAGCGCCGACTTGCGAAAAATATTGGGAGAGCACCGAGAAATATTAGGGGGAAACACAACAATATCCACTTTTTTGCAGTGCTACACTGAAAAAAAAGATTGGCTGCTGCAGTAAATTAGATGATAAAATATGGCATAGCATTTTTAATTGGTTGCAACAGTCAATTTTTGATTGTGTTAGTCTATCGAAATCCTATACTGACAATACAGATAGGTTAACGCAACCAAAAATTGGCTGCTGCAGTCAATTAAAAATGCTATGCCATATTTTACCATCTAATTTGCTGCAGCAGCCAATCTTTTTTTCAGTGTACTGATAGAAATAAATCGCTGAAATAACTAAAATCTATCAAATTAGTGAAAATTTCAACGATTTTAACGATTTATTTCCATCAAGAGCATCGCAAAAAAAAATGGATAATGTTGTGTAATTGACATCCACTTCTTTAGAAGACTACTGTAGTGCACAAGGTATTTTGCGGTTACTGGAAAAAGACACTCATGTTCCTCTCTCAGGTTTCTTTCTGGTACGTGTATGTGCAGGTATACTAAGGGTTCCTTTCAGGGGCATGTTCGGATTCCCACTTGGGTGCTCCCCGGGTATCATGTCATCCTTATTGTTTAACAAACGTTAAACAAGGATGAAATGACATCCGAGGAGTACTCTAATGAAAATCAAAACACGCCTCAACAAGCGACTCACAATCAGTATAACGCAATAATCATCTCATCCTTGTTTAATATTGGCGAATAACAAGAATGTAATGATACATTGTGTTACACCTTGTCATTACATTTCTTGTTGGAAGGCACCCTAGGACAGCAGATGACGTGCCAACGCGAGCATCACTACTTTTAATTCGCCGCGTCAACGTTATGTATAACATATGTCATGTGGCCGATGTTTTCTCACAGTTTTGATCGCAGAAATGATTTGCAACACCGTTTGTTAAAAAACCAAAAGATAAAAATTATTGAAAGGGCATTGCCCCCCTAATAAAATTATTGGGGTGAGAGAGGGGCAAAAAGTGGTCTGCCCCCCCTGTAGTCTCTCGGCGCCTGTGGCTGTAATATTACTGAAATGATCTGTGCTGTATAATGGGACATATTAATTTCTAACAATCAAAGACAGTAGTACCGTTACGAATAATTTGATAAGTGTACATGATACATACGCCATGCTTTTGCACGGACACATTTGTTAGATGCACGTACATGTTGTCCAGCTCTTGAACGCTTGTGTCGTACTTGACGGTGCAGAATCGACAGAATCCTAATTTAAAGAGATATGCTTTGAGCGGCCGAAAGGACGTGATGAGAACGTACAATCGGAGATCGAATTTCTTGCTGCCGATCAACAGTGGATTGTCGATGTATCTATCGTAAGAAATGTTAAAATGATGAAATAGCCCGAAAAAAAGAAATATAACTTAAATTATTATGACGTTAATCACCTCCACCGCGAGAATCTCATGAAGAATATCCTAATAATCGAAACATCTTTGAAATTATATTACCTGGATATGACATATGATTCTTTTGTCAAGTTTGGATTGAATGGTGTCTTTGCTTCGCGTGACCACTTCTTCAGTTTGCTTAGCTTATTGATGAGAAATATCCCGGCACCCTGTGATTTGCCGCATGGCTTCATAATCCAGGTACTCTGCGGGGACTTGCGATATTCTTCCACGAACATATTGTAATCTATGGCATAATATATGAAATTCAAAAATAAATCAGATAATTCTTATTCGAGATTATAAACAAAACACAATGTGAAAATTAATCGAAATATTTAACACAAATGAGTGAAGAGAGAGTCATATTCGGTCAAGACGAGTCTTGGTGCTCAATAATAAATTGTGCAAATTTTTACAATTTTCAGTTCAAACAAACTGCGATCCTATCATTTGTCGGCCTTATGCCCATTTCTATTAATATAGACTAACTTTAATCTCAATTTAACTTACTCTTCTTCTTCTTTTAATTCTTAAAAAATGAAGAGTTAATTGAAACGAAATTAAAATTAAACTACATTAATAGAAATAGGCGTTAGGTCGAAGCTGGAATATGGGCCTTTTGACTGATTATTTGTGTTGTTACAAATAAAATATCTAGGAAAAACAAATTTGATGATTTATAAACCTAATTGAATCCATGGGATTCAAATTAGATTGCCGAGTTCGGTGAACATTTTTCAAAAAAAGCAATAAGTTTTTTTTGAAGAAACTATTTTTCAGGTCAATGTTGTAAATTTAAAACTAAACTTTTTATTTACGAAACAGTTACCGTATTAGGTTTTATCAAGAAATTTTCCGAATCAGATCTAATTTAATTTTTAAAAGCTTAATTTCGATAGCTTTAACTCACCTGCAGGCAAGACGAAAGTGACAGGTATGAAGTCGAGGTACAGATATTTGCCTGGACCCTCTGCGCGTTCTGCCAATGGATTTCCCTCTCTTTCTAAGTCCTTTCGGTATCGCTTGATGTTTTTTACCAGCAGATCCTTGCGCGTGAGTTCATAGTGATTTGGGAAGTGATTAATGATTCTAATAGCATAAACAAACGTTTTTCTTCAAAAAGGGATTATAAATTTGTATTTCTAAAAAAATGAATACCTATATAGAACTTTTCATAACTCCATAACATGTTATCACTATTTTTTGAAATATAGAGGAAAGGTCCTCTTATTATGAGATATCGAGTTCATTTTGGGTAAATGCTAGAAATCTATGAGAGAATTTAAAAAAAATAATAGGTCATTTTAAAGAGAATTTATTAAGCTTTAAGATAATGTTACGTAAAATTTAATTCAAATTCTATTTTTTTTTAATTTAAGAAATGTAAAATTTAAATTAAAGAAAATGTAAATGTAATTAAAGAAATGTAAAAAGTGAGCAAATCGCAAAGTCAAAAAATTGTGCTCCTAATATAATAAGATGCCCTGAGAAATCGATAATAAAACGTAAAGTACATCAGTATTACAATTAAAAAACTTTATTTAATGTTTCTAAAATACAAACAAACACAGCCAGCGTGCGTGAAAAATGAGATGCGATGGATTACCCAGAACTCGTCTTTAGGTAGTTGGAACCAAGCATCGCAGAAATAGGCACTCGATGTTTATTCCAGTTGTCCTTTTTATTATTATACAATAACATTTATATTTTAGAAACGATTTTCACTATGACATAGGAGCATAGGTTATTTCATATTAGAAATATCCTGGGAATGTCATATTACGATTTCCACACCTTACGATTTTATGATCATCAAATCTAACTTCTGTAATTAAGCAATTCAACATATCCCGTATTTTTCTATTAGTACGATCTTACTCTATCACTACAAGAAGAATTTATTGCCAAATATTTACTTATTAAATAATAAACAAGGTATAAAAGCTCATCTCAATGAAACTTGAAGACATCCAAATTCTAAAATTTTTTTACAATGACTACAGGGATAATTAATAATGAATTTTCCACTAAATAGTTTTCAACCCAAGAACAATAAATTCGTGATGGAACCAATAGATAGCGTTTATTAATTTAGCGGAAACGCCGCTATCTCATATTAGGCGCCTATTTCATAATAGGGGGTTTTCCTCTATATTAATTTTTTAAATCAGATATACATTAGAAATTAAAAATAAGTAGTCATCATCAAAACAATAATTATACGGAATTATAATAATTTGAATGTCGCACTATTATCTGAGAATACGTTGGTCAATAGAACTCCCTGTAGCTTATTAATATATACACGTAGCACGTAATATCACGGTAATATCACAGCAATATCATTTTTCCATTGCAATATTACAATGTAATCTAGCAGAAACATCGTTGAAATATTACTGAGACGTCACAGTAATATTACAACGTACGCGAAAATGAATCACAGGAATATTACTATATCACAGAAATATCGCTGTAATATTATGTAATATTTCTGTGATATTTATGTAATGTTTATATTTATGTAACATCCGGTAAAAAATTTTTCATGCATATGTATATATTTCATGAATATGTATTAACATACATAAATATTCATAAACACGTATAATCATACATGAAATATGTCCATACATATTCATACATCCCTCTTTTGTAAAATTACTTTTTAGCGTAATAGAAATAATAATATAATAGTAATATTAAAACGTTAAAAATAATTAAAAGGGTAATTTTCACTATTTGTTTTAGAAAAAATCAAGTTTGAAGGAATGTAAAAAAAATTACTTATGTATAATTATATACAAAAGTATGCATAATTGTATATGAGCAATTTTTTTTACATTTTTCAAAACTTGTTTTTTTCTAAATCGAATAATGCAAAAATTATCCCTTTATATAATTATTTTTTATGTTTTCACATTACTACTATTATTTCTATTACACTAAAAAGTAATTTTACAAAAGAAAGAGAGATGTATGAACATGTATGAACATATTTCGTACATGATTATAAATGTTTATGAATATTTATGTATGTTTATACATATTTATACATACTCTTCCATGAAAAAACCGGGATTTATTTGGAAAAATTAAAATATTTTAAAGAAGCTTGTTGAAAAATATTGAATTGATATTTTTAATGTTATTTTGAAAATTATTCCATATAATATTAATTAGAAAATAATACTGATTGTCAATAACAATAATTATAAACTAAAAAAGTTAACTAAATATCTTATAAAATTATGTGTATGTACCGCGTGTTGCATCAACATATTGGTCAGTATATCGGCTATTTTATAAATGTAATACCTACTACAGGACGCATTACATTTATAAAACGTAATCAATCGATCAATTGTAAAGATGTAATCAATCGATTAATTTTATAAATGTAATACCTGTTAGGAAGGGTATCACATTTATAAAATAACCCGACATACTGACCAATATATTGATGCAACACACAGTACGTTTTTTTGTGATATCTTAATAACGTTTTGATGACATCTCTAACGTCAATAAAACATCATTAAGGCATCATTAATTATAATGTCACTGTTACTTAGACGTCATATTACCACAATATTATTGTGATATTTCAATGTTGGTTATCAATGTGTAATATATCAGAATAATATTTCTGTGATATTATATTGTATAATATACATGTAATATTTCTGGTATATTACAATATTACTGCGATATTGCTGTGATATTACGTGCTATGTGGGTAGTCAATAATATAAAAAAATTTGCTTTGTCTCTTACTGATTATCATCCATCCTGTATCCAGTTTCAACGCTGAAGATATTCCTACAGGATTGCGTAACAGCCCTATAATAAATAATAGAATGCTATAATAAATTCTCAAATAATATACAAATCTTATGTTGTAATTTATGATTATACCAATAAAAATTCCAATCATCTTCCGGACCAACCTGAGTCCAACCACGTTTCTCGAAGTTGTGTACGATCACAGATTTGTCTACGTCTGTGCAAAACGTGATTCTTGTCCGATCCATCCCGACCGATGGCACTCTATAGTCATGTAACCAATTATTTAATCATGATTGTGAATGAATCAATCAACGCTAATATTTTAATGTTGCTGACAAGGGAACACAACTAACGGTCCCCCTCCGATTTAAATCAGCTTATAGTATGTTGTTCTATGGACAAAAATAATAGATACGTATTTTTTTATATCGGCTAAGTCCCACATTAAAGGGGTGGAAACCTCTCTTAAAAAAAATCGGTCTTTTTCTTTTGAAACGAATATCTTCGAAACTATAAGAGATAGAAAAAATTTTGCAGAATAAAAATTGAATGGCTTCAAGAGTACTTTATAACTATAATAAAAAAAACTTTTTTTTAATTATTTATTTATTGTATACTCCCACTCCCACTCCTATTTTCAAAAACTAAAAAATTTTTATATGTCGAACATTAAAGAGCATTTTACGCTGAAAATAACGATGTGTATTAAAATCTGTTGAAAGTAAGAGAGCAATTTTTACTTTAATTTGTCTAAGTCGTTAATCTCTCTTTCAACTTATTATATACGTCGATTATGAGGTCTGTAATCAGTATTACTTATTGGATAAGCTAGATGGCACTTTATACATAAGTTTCTTTTTCCTACAGTGAAGACCTCTCTATAAAGCTTGTCTTTTTACTCTAAGTCTAAGGAAGTGACCCTCTCTCTCTGTCTGTCTGTATTTTTGGCGCGCTTACGCCGCACTTGTTGTAAGAATAAAATTCTTAGATTTTGTCTTAATCTCGAGTATCTCTTTCGAATATACCTTCCTACCTGCGCCTCAAACAACAAAATCACGTTCCGAAAAATGATTTTTCAGATATGAACGAAATCGTCTCTACAATATACGCGCTCCGTACGTATTCGTCTCGTACCGCGTTGGCTGCGCAAGATAGCGATGAAAGCAAATACAACACAATTCATCATAGTGCAGTGACTATTGAAATAAGTTTTTAAAATAATATTAATAATAATAATAATACCAACAACAATAGTGACTTTATTAAACTGCTAAAATCAGTCAAACACTTTAGAAGATCCGGGAAAAAATGTTTTATATGTAAGTATATAAAATTATATATAAAACATTTTTTCCCAGCGATATATAAAAGAATATACAAAATATTTTGGACAATTGAAAACAAAGCATGAATAAAGAAATTATTACTTTTATAAAATTTTATTCTCATTCCATTTACATCACAAAGCAGCTAATTCCAGTGTTCAATGTTGACATGAATAATGTATTAATAAGACGTTGTGTCTTATTAATGCAACTCTATGTAGGCTGTACCTCTCATTTTCATTTTTACATAAAAATGAATTTTCAGTGCAAAAATGAAAATAAGAGATCTCCAATGACCTTGATCTTAACAATGACCTTGATCTTAATAAATGTTATCCAGATCATGATCCTGAACAACATTCAAAAGATTTCAGTCGTCGGTCAGACACCTTGCGTAATGTTAATGCCGGCGGTACTATAACTTTCCGAGCCTTATAACTCGAAAAGTACTCGATGAAAAATAACTTCATTATAGTGTTTTGAAAAACTCTCGATATTGGCTATTAAATACTGGAATAAAAAGTTAAGTGTTCCATTTAAAAAAATCGACGTGATCTTGACCTGATCTTGGCGACGCCACCTAAGGTCAAACTGATAAGGTCAATAAATAAATCATTTTAAATCCTACAACTTTTTTCTGAACACTTTTACGATTGGACCTTATTCTGCGAAGATAAAAGGGTGGTACTGGTAGTCTGAAACACCCAATTATATATATAAAACTATATATAATTTTATATA